AGTAGGTACTATGGGTATAGATTAAGTGTACACCGAGTAACCTAAAATCCTTAGATAATCGATAATTCGTTTCCTCTGTTAATTGAGTTTCTCGATACCGTCACACCGACGCGACGTTTCAATCACACCGATTGAACCACTTCTCTCTGTCAAGTCAATATTTTTATTGCTTCGACAAATTCGAATACCTACTCGATTAATATCCATTAGATTTAAGGTTTCATTCATTTATAATATTTTATTTMTATTGCAACAATAGAAATTACGGACTAGGAATTTATTTTTCAAACATACTTTGATTAATTATTCAATATGAAAAATTATAATTCAATGAAATTCATTGAATAAATATAATACGTATACAATATAAACAAAATTTTGAATGATAGATAACTAAACGATTTTAGTAATGATACATATTATATAATATACATATAACGTCTATTTTGTTATAGATATTTTTTTACCTCTTAGGCGGCGGCAAAGACCATGCATTAGTTATATTGTAGTTAACTTCATATTATTTTAATGCGATGTTGGATATATTAAGAAGTGGTAATATTAATATATTAAATAATTAAATACTATGAACAAATTGTCAAACTATTTAATTAATATTCGATTTTAAAAACTTAATAACTGGTTTATTTCGGGTTTGGACCAATCATATATATCATATTATTAGAGTATTACTGCAACTGATTATGTAATATGTACAAATTCAAACAAGAAAATTTCTAATGAATTATGCTACCACCTACTTTACATAAAATTTTATTTTTACAAAAAATATTTTACACACATATCTATTCACATTCAAATATTTATCATATGTACCTTTAGGTGCAAGGAAATTAAAAGTTTATTTACTATAGTTATAATGATTATGAAAAGAATAATGCTAATAATAATAAATCTAAGTAGTACAACATTAATGGTAACTTAATATGGTTTGATAAAAATAGAAGTTTTTTTAATTACTTTTATTGTTTGAAATAATATGCACTTAGCAGATTATGGTTTTAAAATGAATTACGGTACTTAATATTTTGTATATTACGTTTAGTTCTAGTAATTAAATTGTTTTACTATTTATTGTGAAACTAAGTAGAAATTAAAAGAAATTAATTTAGAAAGTTGTTAAATACGATCGTCAAACAAATATATAACAATGTAATAGAATGCAATTACTCAAAACTTTGGTTTCAATTAATTCTATCAAAAGTTTGCAATTTGAAGATCGATCGAATCATGCGAAACACGGAATTGTATCATATATTTTTAAATTGCTATTGCCTATAATAGTTATAAGTTTCAACTTAAATATATCTCATAGTTCCATAACAGTACATTTTTTTGGTATACTTGTGAAAAAAATATTATCGTGTCAAAGTCACTTTTAATCTATTACATTTAGTTTTAAAACAGTTTCAGTTAAAACTTATTGTGCTCTTGAAGACTTAAAGCAGTTAAAATTATCAAAAAGATGCATATAACATTATAATRTAAACTATACATATTTTATAATACTATGATAGAAGTTACTTTTCAAACGATTCTAAATTGTTCAATAAAAACTGATAAAATAAAACACTCGTTTTTAACGTAATTATGTTGAACAGTTTTTAATCAACCTTATTTCACTCCCAATCACGAATATTGAATTCAATAATACAATGAAATTGTCATATTCAAATAGTTACAGTATTATTTCAGATAATTTTGTCTAATATAATTTATTAAATTGACAATTAGTTGTAACTTTTAAGTTTAGAAAATCATTTTGATCCCACGAATTTTTTTTGTTGATTTTATTCAGTTGTGATGAATAATAATTTTACACTCTTTTTACTTGTATTATTTAAATCATTAAGTAAATTTAATGTCTACTTTTTTACCAATAAATCAAATTTATTTAATTTTATTATATTTAGATATTATATTAGAGCAATTTGTCTCTTATCTAGAAGTGGGCATTCATTGATATTGATAAATTTGTTTAAAACAATAATAATAATTTGTTTCCCAATAACCTTATATGTATGTGATAGGTATACCATCACGTTATAGGTGCGTATGCACTGTGCACACACACATAAAACAGTTGTTATGCGAATACCTAATAGATATATCAAGGACTATCGTTATCTAACTTTATAGATTGTTCATCTTTGAGCAATACGATTTTATTAAAATAAATTGTATCATAATTATTGTTATTATTTCTCAAATCTCATCATCGAAATTCTGACATCATTCCGTGTCCGAAAGATCAAGAAAAATATTGACGCTTTGTACCAGAGTCCACTCGTGGTTATCGATGGCAATGTTTGTCCAGATTCGATGGAATTTATAATTGGATTTTGTAACGAGGAAAACATACCAGGTAAAGGCCCAGTTGTCAGAAACGGAGTAAATCACTTTTGGCCATTTTAAAGTTAATCTAGTGATTTGTGATTTTTTGTGCATTTCAGTATACTTTGAAACAACTGACGTTGCTGTGGCTTCCAAACCATTTTCTTCGGATATGTGGAAAGGATTTTCATTYATATCTCCAAACTTCAAGGAGTTACAAGAAATTTCAACAAAACTTACAGGTAAAAATTTTCAAATTTTTCAAATTGATTCTTAATTACACGTCATATACGATAAATTTGCAGTCATCAAGACGTTTTCATTGTAACATAATGAATATTAAATTTAGATGTTAGTTTTACGTAAAATCATTGTTTGTACAATAGCACGTACTTGTTGGCTCTCACTTTGAAAATGTTACAAAATTTCATCGTGTTTTTAATATCGACAATTAACTTCTTATTTTATCTTTTTATGCCTACGAATTACTGTTATAAAAATAATTTTCATTAATTGCAATAAATTCTTTTATAGATACTTTTTTCACGTTGAATATTTTTTATGGTTTAAAAGACAATAATTATTAAGAAAATTAAATCATCATTAATCAAATAATTATTATTTATTTTAATTTACTAGGTACCTAGTGTTTATTTTATCATAATAATAAAAATATATTTCAAAGAATATTTATTTGATATGTATTTCTTATTTTAAAAATGTTGACATTTGATATTTTTTAACTTTCTATGATGATATCAATTCGCTCATTACTATACATATTTTCTTTTAGGTATTTTCAAATAAAAAATAAAATTGTATTATTCCACGTTTTTCATTTTTTACCACAAAAGTTTTCGCTACTTACAATATATATATTACATTATAATTCTAAGTGATTAACTAGCTGTTCCTTTTAGTGCCTCTCGCTGTTATGCGTATTTGCTGAAGAGCTAAAGGCTTTTATCACTATTTTATTTACTTATTTAAATTAGTTATACATAAGAAGTTGTAATGCACATTTGCACATGAATAATTATGACGATCAAATAATGCACAATCTGTTCATTTATTTTCTAGGACGTCATGCCTTCATTAATAACCAAATTTAAACGGTAGAACTATTATTGTTAATACATTTTAAATGTTACGCAAAGATAACGAATCACACTTAATAGACAATTGAAAAACGCTAATTTATAATTTAATAAGTAGTTTTATGACGTCAAATATTGAAAGACGTTAATTTAATATGCTAATTATTTTAGTCGTTAGA